TATAAAATAACCGGCCGAACTGAACCATTGACACCCCTAGCTGCTTCCATATGTCTCGAACCCGTGACTTATAGGTCACACGGAGATAACTTTACAGTTGCTCTAACGCTCCCCTTCATATANTATATATATCATATCCCAAATAATACTATAAATATACATACCAAATGATTAGGTAGTGGTTAGAAGGATACATGCAAACACTATTCTCCACAAAATAGCAAAACTAACAAAATCCCAAGCTAACCATCTGAATACAATTTAGTGAACATTATTAAACAAGATTTGAACATTTGGAAATAAGCATAATGCCTAAGAAAAACAGAGGGAAAAAAAAGTTGCTCAATTGAAACTAAGACACAAAAAGAAACTAGTAAATATATATGTCCCTCAAAGTTTTCACCTCCTCTTATTTTTGCTTCCAATCACTAAAGCAAAATAGAAGAGAATCCTAAAGAAAAATCCCAAAGCAATAGCAATCCACAAACAAGACCATTTGTTTAAGTCATTCACACCAGTTTGTTTCAATATATCTGCTCCTGTTGTCAAACATGTTGAACTTGTTATGTTCATTCCCAAAGTCTTGCTCATGTTGTGGAGCAACTTGATCTTCAACTGCTCAGGTACAGCCCTCAAAGGCGAACCGTCGAAAATCTGAATACCCTTTACAAAACACTCAAGAGGATCATCAAATTCATTCTGTAACACCCCTTGATAAGGATATTTCACTAAGGACATATAGTGAAACCATATCCAATAAGGAGGGATCCGATCACGACTAATGAAATAGCCACTAAACAACACGAAATAAGCCAATATCGCGACAACAACCGTGTAAGCCATCATAACATTGTAGATGACACCAGAAAGGAATGTGACAAATGAACTTCCAGCCCAAAATGAGGCAACCATAAAAAGCAAGAAGAAAAGGAAACCTGAAACGCCACCGGCTAATCCCACAGACCAATAAGTTATGACAGCAAATGCAATGGAGAGGACTAATATGGAAGGAAGTGAGATAATGGCATGTGAAAGAACATAAGAGGAACGACGATAAGCGTTATAAGCAGTCTCTCTCATGAAAATGTACCTTTCTTGAAGAAAGACTGGGATTGCTTCAGCACAAGTATAAAAAGTTGTTGACATTGCAAAGGCAAAAAATCCTACCCTTTCTTGAACCCCTTTTGGAGAATTGTCCAATTTCCAAAAAATAGTGGCTAGTATAACACCAGTGACAACAACAGCGCCAAAACGCATACCAAATAGCTCAGGCATTCTCATGGAATTCAACATAGATCTTTTGGCTATCACGACCATATCAACCCAAAATGGATTAGCAAATTTTGGGACATTTGAAGAAGAAAGACTCGGGTCGATATTTGTTCCTCCTGAAACTAATTTCCCTCTTGAAACACTTGCACTTATGGCATCTTTGAGTGATGGTTTTGATCCATTGTAAAAGAAGCTGCTACTATTTGAGTTTTTTTTCCTTTGCCATGTTTTGTTGAACTCCACTAAATTCTTGGTTCCATTTGGAGTTCCTTCAAGTTCTCTTATGAAATCCAAAGCAAACTCTATCCTGTTTTCATTTTCTGGGATTGGATTTCCAAATTCAGCAAAAAAATGTTGTAAACTTGAAGGAGAGCTAGTAAAGACTGTGTTTCCACGCGAAAGGATGATCAAATGGTCCAAAAGACTCAAGATTCTATAGCTTGGTTGATGAATTGACATGATCACAATACTCCCACTTTGTGCAATTCTTTGCAAGACTTTTACAACCATATATGCACTAGTGGAATCAAGCCCTGAAGTTGGCTCATCAAGAAAAAGGACAATAGGGTCATGAATTATGTCAATGCCAATAGAAACACGCCTTCGTTCGCCACCAGAAACTCCCCTATGGCCTTCATCTCCAATCACTGTTTTAGCAGCAGTTGTAAGGCCTAATTGATCAATTAAAGCTTGAACTCTAGCTTTCTTCTTGGACTTAGATAAAGTCCTTGGAAGACGAAACTCGGCTGAAAACATGAGTGTTTCTTCAACAGTTAACATTGGAAACAAGAGATCATCTTGCATAACATAAGCTGAGATTACTTTAAGAAGTTTTGATTCAAGAACTTCACCATTTAAAGTTACTGTCCCTTTTAGGCTTTCTCTTGATATTCGATCTGCAAGTGCATCGATCAAAGTAGATTTTCCCGAACCACTAGCTCCAAGTACAGCCATGATTTCACCTTCTCTGGCTTCTCCTGATATGTCATTCAACAACATCTTCATGTTATCGTCTAGCAACGCATTGTCCTTATCCTTCCTCAAGCACTTAGGAAGTGCCATTTTGCTTTTAACTTTAACACTATAGCTGAGATTGTGGAAAGAAAGAATAAAGGGAAATGAAGATGGAGTAGCAATATTGGAGTAGTTATTTCCAAGTTCAAGGGAATTATTGTTGTATGTTTCCTCAGTAGAGTCGCCAACGCGTTTTAATAGTTCACCTAGTGTGACAGAGACATTGTGTCTTGGTTTTCTACTGAATTCTTGAAGATCCATGTTTGTTCTTGGACCTAAAAATGGAAGATCACTGGCTGAAGACATGTCGTCGCCTCCGCCAAGACTAGACATGTTTGATCAAAGGATGTTTAGTGTGATCAATAGCTGTATACTTCTAGTTTTGTGTATAAGAACACACTCTAAATAGAAAGGTAAAAGAGTTTAGTTGGAGTGATGAAGTTTGGAAGGTTTTCAACAAAATTTCTTCATATTTAGTCACTTTCTCTTTGTATTTTTGCTATGTGAATATCTTTGTTGATACCATTGTACTAGAATATAATGTTAAGTTTTGTTTTTCGTGTGCTAGTGAGGTTTGAAAATACTAATAAAGTAAGGTCAGTAGGTGACAAGTTGGATGCCTTCCATTGAATGAGTATATGTAATTTACATCATCTACTACTAAGTCTATTTCTACCTTGAGATTTCTTGTAAGATTAGAACTTGGGTATGCCATCTCTGCCATTTGTGACCTAAAAAGGTAAAGGGATACCAAAACAAAAACATAAAGATAATAAAGAAAGAGTTTTTATATATACTAACAGTGTAATGCATTTTTACACTTTGTGTAAATTCAACTCGTTATAGTATGTTATTACTCTATATTTTTTTGCGCTACTATATCATGCTTGATATGCAGAGGCGGATACACCTTGCGGCAAGCGGTATCACGTGACACCGCTTCATTATAATTTTTATTAATTATGTATATATAGATAGTATACAAAATAAAAATATTGAGTATAAATATAAAAATGACACCGCTTTTAATTATAGTAATTTATTCATTTATTTAAATTTGTTTTAGCACCTCTTACCAAAAATCCTGCGTACACCGTTGATATGGACGAGCTACTTGTTGTTTTGGATAAACCTAATATGATAGTATAAAAATCTTTTTTATTATTAGTGCATAAAACATAAACTCGCACAAAAAATAGTACCATATTTGTAGAGACATCATGTGCAACAAACCAGATTTATTGGAGAGATGTTTCTTGTACACCACTCTTTTGAAGAAGGTTCACAGGCTAAAGAAGCAAACTTTCAACCACTATTTTTCTAACCTAATAAATTCCTTTCAAGTGATTCGAGTAAATGAGAGAACTGTATCTGTTGGTTAAATTTTGATAAGGGAACATCTTCTTTTACTAACCTGAGAAGTAATTTACAACAATGAAGACCTAATTAGGTCAATGAATATGTATACCGCGTTTTAAAATTGAATTTTTATCCTTTCAAAAGAAATCTACGACTTTAAATTATTTGTTTTGAAAGTTGATACTACTAATTTTTCCTACTTCTTTAGGGATTAACCCACTCGTAAAAACTGTTTTTCCTTCTTAAATATAGTGGACATCAGTAAAACGTCAAAAGTTATACGTCCAACGATAAGATGATTGAGAATTTTCACCTTTAACTAGAGGAGGGGTTCGAGTTTTAAGAATAAAAAAATCTTGGTAAAAAGCATTTCATCCCCTTACTAGGTCGTCTTTCCTGTAAATATCTTGATTATTTGACGTTAAGGTTTGGGCTTTGCTACTAGTTGCGTGTTACTAATATAGAAGCCACTGCTACTTCTTGTGTGTATTGGTTGCAAATTGACTCTAATTTGTCTTATTTTTATTGAATTTTAGTCACTTCCAAGTGGCTAATGTGGTGACCAAAAAATTCCTAATCTCTCTTGCACACGTCTTCACTTCTTTACGAAATCAATTTTTCTATTTGCCATTATTTTCACTTGATAGGAATGGGTTCTTACTATAATTTTTCATTTTTTTTCAAGCTATACCTAAATCCCTTTCTTATTAATCTGGATTTTGATTACTTTAGGTATGGATGTTCATCTACTCTGGACCTAAGCATCACTATAAATCTGCAGTCAAAAAAAATTAGAAATCACCCATTCAGTTGACACTTGGTTTATCTATTTACGTATCATTTTTCGCTTTGTTTGGATCCATAATATTTCAATACTTTGTACCTAAAGATTATCTAATGCTAGAAGTTCTCTAAGGGGTCATTTGGTTAGGAAACAAGTTATCCTAGGATTAATTATTCCGGGATTATTATCCCACCCTCCCATAGGGATAAAAATAACACTACAATCCTGGAATTAGTTATACCATTATTTTATCCCAACCAAACGTGGGATAAACTCATCTCAAATTTAATCTCAGAATTAATTATCCCTTATCCCTAGTACCAAACGAGCCATAACGGTATACTCTAGTGCTTAACTGCTTATATCTCCAATTTGCTAAAAGTCTTCTGGTCTTCTAGTTGATATATTTTCTGGACTCTGGAGATATCTAAAATTGAGGTAATATGGAATTTTACTTTAAATACACCGAACGTGATCAGATATTTACAACGAGAGAGAACTCGTCCGAAATTATGCATCCACTATGATATTTACAGCAGCAAATCCACAATACTTATACTTTACCTGCCAATTAAGACCAAGGCAATTACACTATTTCATTTCTCACTTTAAACGACACTTGGCTGTCCAACATCTTGAAGCAAAATATCTTTCTTTTTCAGGATCAAGGACCAATTTGGGGTTCAACATTTCTCTTGCAGTACGATGACTTTACACAAATCTCTCCCTCTCTCTCTGTTAAGTTACACTATACAACTGTCGCAATCGTTACTTCCCAGAAAAAAATTGAAAACAAAAGGCATGTACAAGTGTTTTAATGTATACCATGAGAAGGGGATGAGCTTTTTTTTCCTCCCTAAATGACATGATTAAGTGGTCCAATGCCCAATTCATCCTCTATGTCATCGCCATCCTCAAACAGCTTCAAGAATCGAGCTTGCTCTTGTTGCTTTTTTCTCTTTTGCCAATATTTGTAGGCAGTCACTGCTCCAAGAACTACAAAAATCGACACCACCACACAGATAAGCAGCACTAGTGCCCAGTGCATTCCCTTTCCCTTGGTTTGCGAGTCAGCAGAGTGATTTGAAGCTAGAGAGAAACCATGCAATGACACACCATAAGCAACCGAATATAGACAACAAATTATAGAGCCTCCGAAAAAAAGGACAAGCATCCATGAGGGAAGAATAATCCAGATACTATAAATACAAGAATTTTGTTGCAAAAATAAGTTAATGATATCATAATTTGTGAATTAAATGCTACGTTAGATTGGATTATCTCATCAACAATGTCACAATAGGTCATATATTAAGCTTAATTTTAAAGATTAACCAAGGATTTAGTGCAATATTTCTAATGTAAACAAACTCAAAACCATCATGGATTCCATGAGCACCGAAGTCCCTAAGCGGCACAAAAGGGATGTCAGGGGAGACATAATGAAATGCCATTAAGAACAAAGATCGCGGGAAATCCAAATTGTCATCATAATAGTCTGCAAGGGAAGTGCAACCTTCCTTTTACTCAGTTTCTTTTAAGAAGCAAATAATTCAATAATAGAACTAGGCAAAATGCCAAACCATTTCATTTACACCTGTGTCGATGCCCCTTAGTAAAGATAGGGTGGTACTGTTGTCTTTTAATTGCAGTGCCAATTAGAGGAGCCCAAATTCTACATCACACTGAAACTCAAAGATTTACCCACCAAAGTCTTTTTCTTCTAATTATTCTTATCCAGAAAAAAGGAAGGGGGAGAAGTAACTAATTTGCTTTCTTTCCAAGAAGCACTTCATATCTTCCAAAAGTTTTGCGTACTTTTTTTTTTNGCCACTAAATCAAGGCCCTCGGAGCAGAGATTGGCATACATTTAGTTAGATGCTTATGTTGATCAGGATGGAGAGATATTAGAGAATATAAACTAATTTCCTCAAGTACTTGAGATTGGAACTATAAATTAGAGCATTTATGAGTTTATGTGCAGTAAAATGTCAAAAAGCCTCAAGGCTATTGTTGTTACAGAGAATGGAACGCTTTAACCAAGGATAAGAGGAGATAGAAGAAGATAGAATACTCACCACCTTCAAGAGGGACACAGTCTGGACACAAAAATGTGGCGTTGAACTCTTTCTCCTTGAAACGAATATACTTCCCATCAGGACTAGTAAAATCAGAGGCACAGAACTCCCACTCATCAAATACATCATCAGGCTTTATAAATGAGTCTTTCTCATATATCCCGCATCGTTTGCACTTTTTTTCTTCGAGTTCTGTCAGAGGCTAAAAACATAAAATGCAACATCATCAGCTTCCTAAAGAAGATGTCTTACGCCAAGCACATATAATCAGAAACCTTCCAAGTTACGACAGTAATAGTCAAAGATTGGAAGACAAATTTAGATTCTTCCCTTGATGCATAAAGCAAACAAACACCATCGTTAATTAAGGATAGGAGTCTCCTCTGCCAGACAGCCACACATATGAGGTAGGCTTGTAACTTACTGAGGAATGTCCTGACTTTACTTTGAGTACTCCTATGTATCAATTGTCTCCATTAGTTCAATAGTATTAGTGTTAGTATGGTACCCCTTTTATCCTTAGTTTGCTATTATCGCATACCTTGTACTGTTATTACTTGCCACCAGTACTCCCTTAGTTTGCTATCACTACATATCTTGTATTGTTGTTACTTGCTATCAGTACTTCATTCATATTCTCTATTGCTATCTTGGATTTAGTTTTCTAAATATATTGTCTTGCTTTTACTTGCTATCAGTGCTTCTTCCGTCTTCTATTTAGCCGAGGATCTATCGGAAACAGTCTCTCTGCCCTTCCAAGGTAGGGGTAAGGCCGGTACATCCTACCCTCCCCAGATCCCACTTGTGGGATTACACTGGGTTGTTGTTGTAGAAAAGTCAGCTTAACTCCCACCAAGCATAGCCGGTCTCGAGTCCAAACAAAGGAGAAGGGTTGTTATAGATTGACAATCAACAGAAGTGGACCTACAATGTGACACGGTGTTTTTTGATGAAGTAATAGAGTTTCATTTAATGGCATCAAGAAGATGCAGACAAAAATATACAAGAGGGAAAAAGGTGACTGCTCAGATACAATACAATGTGACAGCGTGAAGCGAGGAAAAGCGACAAGCCCCTTTTCTTCGCTTAAAGCGATAAGTGAAGCATCATAGACAATGAAGAAGAAGAAGAGGAGAATGACAATAAAATAAATACTGCATAGATAACTAAGAATAAATGATATGAAGAAAATGGCAGTAAGTATGTCAAAAAGTGGCAGTATAACTGGAACGAAAAATGGGCAACATTTCGCTGCAATTTATCACTGAAACAATGAAAGAAAATGAAGAAGAAGAAGAAGAGGAGGAGGAGAATGAGAAAAAAAAAGAATTGAAGGGGAAAAAAAATTCACCAAATGCTGCTATTTGGACACTGAATCAGTGAAAGAAAAAGAAAAAGAAGAAGAAGAAGGAAGAAATCACATACCTGAGACCAAACTTGATGATCTTGAAGTTAAAAAAAGAGAGCCTTTTTAATTAATTAACGTTGGCAGCCCAATTATAAAGAGAAGTGCTCGCTTTTGTCGCTTTCTCGCTTTTTCAGGGGAAGCGATCGCTTTTGTGTACCTGATACGCTTCAGATCAGAGAAGCGACAGATGCCTCGCTTCGCATCGCTTCTCGCTTTAAGTGAGGAAGCGCTCGCTTTTAACAACACTGATGTGACAAGTGGGTTATATTGAACTCAGTGGTTGTCTTAGACCCTATATATATGTGTTAAAAACACACTATGATAAAGAGACTCAATCCCAAAAGCTAGCTCACAAGGTCAGAATTTTCCAAGCCATATAAGGAGACCAAGTCCCCCATCCCTATTCGATGTGGGAGACTAACAACCCCGCACACCCAGGCCTACCAACTGGAGCATGGACAATCTAAACTCACTTTTGCTCCACCAATGAAATCATTGATACATGGCCTTGGAAATACATCTGGAAGACCAAGCTACCTACAAAAATCTCCTGTTTCAGTTGAATAGCCTTAAATGAAGCATGCCTAACCCAGGACAATCTCAGCTGAAGAAGTTTTCAATCGGCCAACATATGTTATATGTGTTTGCAACAACCAGAATCCAACAAGCATCTCTTTCTTCACTGCCCAGTTGCAGCAGATATCTGGTGTATGTTCTTTGCCATCTTTGGTTTAAGCTGGGTCATGCCTCAGAACATTAAGGATACCTATGAAAGCTGATCTTCATGGAAAGTTGATAAATCCATCAGTAAAGTATGGTAGATGATCCCTTCTTGTATTTTGGGGTGTGTTTGGACAGAAAGGAATCACAGATGTTTTGATGGGATATCAACTCCAACATACGCACTTAAGGCTAGATGCCTTATATGGTTATATAGTTGGCAGAATTTAGCTCCTGTCAATTGTCCTATTAATCTTTTGGACTTCGTCAGCTCTTTAGCTTTAGCCTAGTTTTTTCCTATAGAGCTGACTATGTCTTTATGTATCTCTCTCTTTTGTACTTCTTGCATCTTCTTGATGCCTTTAATGCAATTCTCTTACTTCATCAAAAAAAAAAAAACTCAACCCCAAAAGCTAGCTCATGAGATAAGGATTGCCAAAGCCATATAAGGACCAAGTCCCCATCCCTATCCGATGTGGGAAAGTCAACACACTATATATGTACAAATGATATGTTCTGAACACAGAAAACCAAATGAATTGTGGGTTCAGAAAATCCCAAATGTGCAGTTCAACTCATGGATCCGCTTCTGACGGCCAGCTTAGAAGTTGCCAAATTCGAGATTGAGGCACAGTTAATTAGTTGATTGATTGAACATGAACAAAGATAATAGTTTCACAGATGGCCTCACGTTAATGAGGTAAATTTTTTATATTTTTCCAAACAAAGCAAAATTAACAAAGCAATTGCATAACTTTTTAAATCGAGAAATGCTGTAACTAATTCCAGCAACCGAGAAAGTATACAGTACTACAGTAGTTATATACCTGCCAAGACTCTTCGCCCTTGAAGCTATACAACTCATGTTTCTTCTTCACATCAGGCAAATTTGTTCTATTTTCACCTTTACACTGAAAATAAACTTCTGGTGTCAATCCTAACAATTCATGAGTATTATATATTTCGATCGAATCTAGAGTAACAATCGCCGCTGTAATCAATCCTGAAGCCAAAGAAAATAATAAGTTACCATTATTTAGCCATCAATTAGTTCAGTATAATCATAAAATCGAATCATTTATTCAGAAATCAGCTACTTTCCGGGTTTGTCATGAAAATTACCTGGAAGCAAGCTGAGAAGAATTGATCTATAGAAGAGCAAAAGGAGAGGAGGAATCCTAGACTTTAAACGACGACGCATCGCCGTAAAATTGCGGCTCTCGTTGATCGGAGACGACGATGGAGAAAGGCGGGGATGTTGGCGCTATTGGTTTCCTGCGCGGAGCGAAGCTTCTGTTTGAAGACCTGGTAAGAGCTAATTTGGCGAAGCAAAACTTCTTCTGATTCTAATCTAATGCTTATCTTAGTGCATGTTTGCTACAGAGTAAAATATTTTTAAATTTTTTATATTTTATTAGCTTAAATATTTTTATATGAATTTATTTTTCTTCAATTAGAGAGAAATGACTTCTCTACTAAAAGCTGGAAAAATATTTTCCAAACTTTTCTTTCAACCTTCTCCTCCCCATCCTATCCCCCAACCCACAATCTTGCCATTCCGACCCCATATCTTGACCTACTACTATGCCCCCTGACCTCACCCCGACCCACCCTACCATGGCACCCTTCGCCCACCCTCCTAATTGATTATTTTATGCATCGGAAGCAGTCCCAGTATCAAAATCGCATGTAATTTAGATAACTAGTATATGCGAGATTTCACGAGTTACCCCTTGAAGCGTGAACACAACGTTTCAACCACGTGAGTCTTTAGTTTCACAACAACTCAATGAAATCTCCACCATCAGCACGATCACAATTCCCGAATATTCCACAACCTTCTACTGTGTTACCCAAATAATATCCGAAAAAATAATTTCGTGTGGGCAAAATTTCTAGGAAAACATGGCTGAAATTTTCAGCCACCATTCTATTCTATTTTCTCTAGGTGTAATGTATTTATAACACAAGTTTTAAGGGTTAATACCCTTTTCCAAAACTTCCTGGGTTTTCTTTTCCGCCAGAAAAATGATTCCTTTATTTTCTATTATGTAGGCACATCAGGGACCACGAAATTTAATTAACAAGGCTTCCAATTATGTAATTAATTTATAATTTTAAAAATTAATATCCACCATAATTAATTACGAATTCTTCCACTAAAAATTCGTAATTGTACTCCTTACTCAATTTCGAAATTCATCCATTAAATCTTATTTAACTCCTCATGTTAAGATTTAGATACTAATCAATTAAATTAAATTACTGACAATTTAATTTATTGATTATTTTCTTTAGACTTTCACTTATTTCATGTGTCGAATATAAAATCCACCAGCCGGGTTTACACATAAAAACTTATAAGCTTTCATAAAGGTGTATCATCAATCTCTAAACCGAGACATGGATTCCATCAACTAACTATTACTTCGCAGTGTACATTATTATTATCCAATTTTCCAGGTTTATTGACCTACAAAAGGATCTCGCCTTTTAATAAATAAAAATAATAATAATATACACAACTAATAATAATTATATCAAGATTAAGAGTATAAGCATATTTAATGGTTAGAGAATTTATTTTATTACGTCAGTATAAAATTGTAACGACTCGGCCGGTCGTTTTGTGCTCTAGCGCGTCGTTCGGCGGTTTGAGGCCTTAAGTAGCTTCACTTCATATTTTATGACTTGTACATGTGGTCGGAATTGAATTTTGGAAAGTTCGAAGTTGATTTGAAAATAAAATTCTAAATTCGGAAGCTTTAAGTTGGAAGAATTGACTAAGGTTTGACTTTTGAGTAAAAAACCTCGGAATCGAGATTTGAAGGTTCCAATAGGTTCATATGATGATTTCGGACTTGGGCGTATGTTCGGGTTGAGTATAGAATCACCCGAAAGCAATTCAGCGCTTATTGTGAAAAGTTGTCATTTTGAAGGTTTTAAAATTTCTTAAGTTTGGTTTGAGGTGAACTTTGGTGTTATCGATGTTCGTTTGGAATTCCGAGCCTTGGAATAGGTTCGCATTGTGATTTATGACATGTACACAAAGTTTGGCGTCATTCCGGAATATTTTGGTATGATTCAAGCGCGTTCGTCGAAGTTTAAAAGTTTAAAGAAAGGTTTCGATCATCGATTCGCAATTTTGATGTTGTTTGGTGTGATTTGAGGCCTCGAGCAGGTCCGTGTTATGTTATGGAACTTGTTGGTAAGTTCGAACGGGGTCCTGGGGGCCTCGGGTGTGTTTCGGACGAGTCGCGGATCACTTTGGAGCTTTGTTGTATTGCTAAAGGGCATGAGTACTAGTGCAATCACACCTGCGGAAAAAGGGCTGCAAATGCGACGCCGCAGAAGCGGCCAGGCAAGCGCAGTAATGGATTTTGGTTGGGAAGTGCTGGGACCGCAGATGCGGTCGTTTTACCGCAGAAGCGGAACCGCACCTGCGGAGAGGGGCAACACAGAAGCGGGGGCGCAAATGCGCAATAGGGCCGCAGAAGCGACCGACGACCTGGCCTGGGTTCTCGCAGGTGCGAGATTTAAAGCCGCATAAGTGACCTTTTGGACTGCAGAAGCAAAATTTTTTGGGCAGTGTGGTTCTTAAAAACATGGGTTTGGCCCATTTTCACCTCATTTCTTCCATGGGAGCCGACTTTGGGGCGATTTTTGGAGCGCTATTTCCATCATCAATCTTGAGGTAAGTGATTTCTACACACTGTGAGCTAAATACATGGCTTATGTATGGATTTAAGCATGAAAACTAGTAGAAATTGTGGGAATTTGGTAGAAAACCTAGAAATTGGTATTTTTGGATTTTAACCACGAAATTGGATATGGAATTTGGAATAAATTATATATTTGAGTTCGTGGTGTTATGGGTAAAGTTTATCTTTGAAAATTTTCAGAATTCGGACACGTGGGCCCGAGGATTGACATTATTGACTTTTAGAGCGGAGTTGAGGATTGTTATGAATTGATTAATTATAAGCATTGGAGTATATTTTGATTGAGTTGCACATCATTTGACTAGTTTCAGATTGTTTGGCTTGAATTGAAGAGTTAGAGAGGCGTTGAAGCCGGTTTTGGAACTTCGGAGCGAGGTAAGTCTCTTGTCTAACTTTGTGAGGGGAAAACTACCCCCTAGGTGATATAATTATTATATGCTACTAGTTGTGGGTGCTACGTACGCACGAGGTGACGAGAGTCCGTACGTAGCTAAAGCATGCTTATGTCCGGGTAGACTTAGGACCTTATTAAGTAATAATTGAATTATTTGAACTCATTCTGCTGGCTTAATTAATTAAACTTATAATTGAAATAGATTTAGAAATAAATGTATGTATACTGTCGAGCCTTATCACCTTGAGTTGTTGGTTAGTCATTGGAGGAAAGATAAAGATTATATTCACTTTGTACTCATGTACTGTATTGTAAGCACGTGTCTCGTAATTCGGTAACTTTCTTCCTTTCTTGTGGAGCGGGTCGAATGCCTCGGTAGTATAATATATGCATTTATGGTTCGTGCCGCTCGACCCTCGGCAGTGTACACATTATTCTGGATCGGACCGAACGACCTCGACATAATCGTGCGTTATATCGCTGGTAGTCCGAACATTCACGAGATTATCTTTAAACTGATGCCCGACATTTTATATGGTATTCCTTATTCATTTGATATTGGCACTTGACATTTTCTGAGCTGTTAAGGTATAATACAAGATTGAGAAATTCATACTTTAAAAGAAATATTTGGAAGATTATGTAACTAACAGATTTTTCCCATTATTGTTGTGTGCTTCATATCTACTTATGATTTATTATATTGCTTTATTGGACCTCTAGTAAGTGTCGATGTCGACCCCTCGTCACTACTTCTCCAAGGTTAGGCTAGATACTTACTGGGTACGCGTTGATTTACGTACTCATGCTGCACTTCTGCACTAAATGTGCAGGATATGACAGGTTAAATTAGCAGTTATCTTGGTGCGTAGGCACAACTGTTGGGGAGACTTTATGGTGAGCTGCATTCCAGGCTACGTATCGCAGCCCACAGAGTCTCCATCGTACCATTTACTCTATCCGGTCTTATTTACATTCCAGACAAGTGTTGTATTGTTATTGTACTCCTTAGTAAATGCTCATGCACTTGTGACACCGGGTTTTAGGATGTTCTAGGAGTTGTTGTGACTTTGCTTAGCATTTACACACTTATATTATCTATTCTGTTAAAAATTATAAATTTCCATGATTTTTATGCGTTGATTTATTCATCTAATAAAGAGTTACGATTTCGGAAATAATAAAATTCATAATTAAATCAGTAGTTCACAGTTGGCTTGCCTAAAGGTGACGTTGGGCGCCATCACGACCTATAGTGAGTTTTGGGTCATGATAGCTTGGTATACGAGCGTTAGGTTCACTTAGGTCTCACGAGTCATGAGCAAGTCTAGTAGAGGCTTGCGGATCCGTACAGAGACGTCTGTACTTCTCTTCGAGAGGCTACAGGGCTGTTAGGAGCACTTCCCTTCTTGATTCCTCATCGTACGATTTGATTCCTTTGAGGCTTATGCCTTTATTTCCTTCCTACTCAATTTTATGCGACGTGGAGTGCTTGGTATCAATTGGGCATTGAGGAATTATAAATGGTACCGCAAATGAGGTGTAAGATATTTTCCTTGCGTGTTCGGGCAAGCTATTATCGTCGCCTTGCGGAAGGATGTTCTATCGTTTCGGCTCAGTATCTGTACTTCCTATGGTCACAGATTGCTATGATGTTCATGTGTTGTTATCGCACAATGTTGGTGTAATAGTAGGGTGCTTATTTATGGATCGCGGTAGTGAATGACTCAAAAGGAGGATTTCTCAGTTCATGGTTTAGAGGTTCGGCATCTAATTCCAGTGGAGGAAGGGCAATCGGACTATGGATGTTCAGGTTTTGTTTGATGGAGTAACGAGACTTGATATTTTCGAGCGTGGTGGAATTTTCATTTTTGATGTGGTGTCGTCGTCCTTGTTTGAATGTATTAAGGTTCACCGGTGTTATGGCCTTCTTTGATTTGCCTTCGGGGTAGAGGGTGGTGAAAATAGTGTATAAGAAGCGGTTGTCAAAGATGGCGGTGTGTAGCGATTTCAGAATCGAACAGGTGCTTCGAAAGCTGATGGCTCGAGAAAGATGATTTTCGAGGAGGCTTAGAGTTGGTAGCAATTTACTAGTTCAGGTGCTACAAAGATGGATTTTGATTTGAAGCAACATTTGGGCAGCGAAGGATGAGGAAGGACATGGCGGGAGGTGTCTCGAGGTGATCATATTACTAGCAGGTCAAGTATGAATAGCAGAGGTCGAGAAATTGCTTAAAGG